AATTAAAGTTAAGACTGATTGGTCTACCATTTCCTGGGTTCTCCTTTTTTTTGTTGCCCTTTGTAAGGTGGACATGATTTTTGCCCTTTTCCAATCTTCTACAAACTCATAGTCCTTCATGATTCACAAAGATAATCACTAAGGGCCATGAATGATGAGTGCCTCTGAAGGCTAGCGGGGGCACAGAGCCTGCCCGCAGGTGGTGGTGGCAGTGGAGGTGTGGCAGCAGCGAGTGGGGAGCTCCCACAGGCAGCTGCAGCGGTGTCGGGGTAAGGGAAGTGGTGAGCGCTGACTAGCGGTCAGTGACCACCCACAGATGCCGCCGGCAGTGTTGGCAGCAAGGGTGGGGGGGGTGGCAAGTGGTGACTGCCCACAGGTGTTGCCAGCAGTGCCGGCGGCACTTCTCTCAGGGGATGCATCACCGATCTCAGGGGGTGCACGTGCACCTGTGTGCACCCCCTATGCATCACCAATGCTGAGGGCACTTTTACATGTGCTCTGGGGGTAAGGAGGTGGCCTTTAATTAGAGTGGCTTTGAGAGCCACTCACCATTTGCCCCCGTCACCATTTTAAAGTGTGAGGACACTAATACATGAGAAGTGGAGGTTGGCTGGAGTGCGGTAATTATCATGTTCCAGCAGATTCAATTAATTGAGCCTGCTCCAGTGCACTGTAATTACAGCACATTGGAGCAGCCCTGAAGCATGTCCACAGGCACCCAAACAGCTGTGTGAGTGCCTTAGCCAGTTCCTTGTGTACTCTAGGGTGACACTGATCAAAACCCAGTTGATTTGGAAACACTGAATTTTTCTGAGTAGTCTATAACATGTCCCTTTCCTGTTCAAGCCTCAATTCTTATTCCCTTGTCACTAATGATTTGCTCTAAAAAAAAAAATTCACTCCAAAGTCCTAAAACAAGAATCTGATGTACCAATGCTTTAAAGGTTTTCTTCTGGTAAATGCTGAGTACTCTGGATCTTATTCAGACAATCCCTAAAAGTATGAGTTAGTTCCATTAACACAATGGGACACAATGCTTCTAGTTAACCAAACATTTATTTACATAGCTGGAGAAGAACCAGAGTGCTCAGAACCTAGCAGGAATAATCACCAAATCAATCTTATGCTGATATAATTCTATTAAAATAATCTATCTGAGTGTATATCCCCAAAATGATACTACTTATTTTATTAATTAAAAGGCCAAATTAAATAAATATTCATTACATTTCCTAAATTTAAACCACCAATGCTAGGAAATACTTTTGTAGACATTATTTCAATCGACACAATAGAGGAAATATGTCATTTGAAGCAATTAAGGGGAAAAAAACTCTTCAAATTGATCAATATTGCCTTTGAAAAACAGACCGAAGAAAAGCAGTTTGCACAGAAAAGTAATCATGAAGTGTTAAATCAATAAAAGTAAACATGTTACAAAAGACTTGTCTTTGGACTGTTTCCTCATTGATGCAAATTATTTATAGGATAGCTTGCTGATGCCAAATTGTATTTTCAGCCTTCTCGGTGCACATATAGACTATTGCCAATAATTCTGCTGAGCACAAACCTAGCCCCACTAACAATTTCCACTTTGAAAGTAGTATCTTTTTAGGCAGTTGAATAATAAAAAAATGCAAACATTTTTCAGGCTAGGAACTAATTGTACTTAATACAAGGAGAGGGTCCAGTTGAAGTTTATATTCAGAAAAACAAAGGTGGGAACAGAAGTAACTTTGAAAATGTTTCCAAGAGTAAGAGGTTTCCAAACATTTCAGCACGGACATACACACACAGGCCCTGTTGCATCTCCCTAGCTATAAAACTACACAATTGCCATGGCTGCATATCTTGGCTCTTATGAGCCAGCTCCAGAAGGAGAGGTGGAGAGGGGAACCAGATAAACAAACCTGTAGCTTGGTGATTAGAATACTCTGTTAAATGGTCAGAGAAAAGTAGATTCAAATTCTCTTTGGGCAAGAGGTACCTAGAACCAAGATTTCCCACTTTCTATATGAATAGTCTGACCACCAGGCTACTAAGCTAAACAATAGAAGTCTCCTCCACCTCCAGCATCTAACACCCACTAATCACAGGTTTCTTTCTGGCTACAGTTTCAGACCTTATGCATGTATAGATGTATGTGTATACAGAGTACAGCCTAATTCTCATGTGCAGTATCTTGTGTGTACACACTGCGTATGGAACAGCAGCACAAACTGCATAAGTGCCAAAATAGCAGTTATGTGATTAGGTGAGTGCCATTTGGGTAAATAAGGTGAACAGGATTATGCCCTTCATTTGGGAGGGCTTTCAGAGTAGGTCTCAGAAGAATACACACAGCACTATGCTAATAGAGCTACACTCACTGTGCTACCATTCTGGAAGTACCGCATATTAGCATAACACTGTCTAAAACAATCGGAATGTTAGGGAAGGGCAGAGAAGGGGGTTCATTAACACCTGATCCCCAAATCCTTCCCCTCTATCTGTTTTTGAACAAGACCAGGATCAAGATTTATCATGAATTGTGTAAAATACACAATAATATTTTTCAGTTGTAAAGTACATTTCACCTCTAACTGCTATATAAATTAGGTAACAACACCATACCACTTGAAATGCAGCTATCTGCATTGATGTAAGGCAACATCAAGGCAGCATATGGCAATAGGAGAGAAGGGTTATTATTTTTTTTTGCAAGAATACTAGGATAAACCACTGCTCCTACTAAAAGGGCCAAAGATTCTTGATCATCAAATCTGGAAAAGCAAAACCTCAGTTTTAAATTAAGGTCACACCAGAAATACCAACATCTTTAAATTGTCTGGGACTCAACTTCTTTTTGCTTGGAAAAAATATTTCATGTCTTTAATTAAGTTTCAAACCTGTGAATCCAGCGAACCTCATATAAAACTCAGTTCCTAAGAGGAGATCATTAAGTCTGGTACACAGATGGTCTTGAATTTAAATTGGAAACAGATTCAGAATTAACTGAATGTCAAAACACTCCACACCAGATTTGCAGAATGTTGTTTAGAAAACATTACCCTTAGTCAATGCAAACAATGCCACTAAGTATAGCAGAAACTGCAACTGAGCAACAGAAGATTTGCCACCATGCAAATAATGATTCCCTACAAATTATTTTTCAAAATATATATTAATCAAATAAAAAGAAAGTGGTTGGATGACTGTGGATGCTAGACTGCAAACTGTTGAAAATAATGGCAGGACACTGAATTATCTTTGTCTCTTTCAAAGATGAGATTTCCCCCATACCACCAGCCAAATGAATCTATGTATGAAAAGATATCCCTGGTAGTCTTGGGGAACTGACATAGTTTTTAATAATCCTTATCAATAATCCAAATCTCAGGCTCACTTATTTAAAGGTTTACTATTTTGAACACAATAGTGCTTCCATCGAAGTCAACAGCAAAAATTCTCATTCCATTTCTATGGGAATAGCATTAGGCATGTAGAATACCTTACTATTAAATCAAAACAATTCCTTTTTCCTACTTCATATCACTCACTTTCACACTGTTTTTTCAGTTGCCAAGTTATTTCTATTCCATTATTACTTGAGGCACTACCTTAAAAATATGTAACATTTTCAGAACCTTCACATTATATGCCTAATTAAATACAAAGCAATCTATCTTTTAAAAAAATGTTCTCCATGTATAGCAATATCTGCTGAATGCCCCCAACAGCCAAGCTAAAAGGGGCATTCAGCACATTACATTTACATGTTGTCATTTTATTTTTAATGTATGATTTTCATACTTAGAATTAGCTGAATACCCTCCTTGCTGCTTTGAAGCAATCAGCACAGGATTCACTGTAAATGCACTATAGTTTACAAAACATTCAAAGACCACTTTTAGAAAAAAATTAAATTTATTATTTTATGATTTATGTTTTTCATTCTTATAATTTGTCTCAGACAAATAAATTAAATCAAATCCATTTTTATTGGAATGGGAACTACTCAGCAAAAGAAGCAATTTAAAAGTAATGCTTCTCTGGTTTGTCAGTTTACATTAGTGAAAGCCAGAATGTCTTAATCATATACTCACAGAAAGCAAAGTTGGCCTTGTTTTTTCACCAAATACATAGTTCCGAACAGTAACAAGACAGATAAGCTACTAGCTGAGTTAATTAAAGGCTATCAGGCTCATCATGTTATTTCTGCAATTGTAGATTGTTGGCAAAGAAGCATATATACAGCAAGATGTGAACTGAAGCCAAATTTTTCAAGTACCTAAACTCTGGTTTGCAATTCAGTATTTAGGCACTAGAATAAATCTGACCTATTTTTTCTCAGGTGCTAATCAACCTCTGCTCCCACTGAAACATACATTTCAAAAACACAAAACTAAAGGCTTTCCAAAAAGATTATTTTGAACTTGACTACTTCTCTGAAGTTACTCTACTCCTGTGTATTGAGAGACGTTATAGTGATGACACACAAATCAAGGAAGTTGTGAGATGGAACATTTTATACATAATTTTTTTATTAGTGGTTGCAAGCTTTTGCCATATATTCTTGCTAAAGTGGAACAAGTATTCATCTTTGTTTCAAGGAGGATTTTTTATTTTCCAAAATTGTAGGCTGAAGAGCAAGGCTTTCAGAAATTCTAATAGGTATGTAGGTAACAATGAATTCAAAGTAATTTCTAAGTAATTTCATTTTACCCTATTTCTTTCTGCTGCACTGCATCAGTAGGAAAGTTGCATAATCATAGGGATAAAATGCAACCCAAATGAGCATAATCTTGAAAATTCTGAATATGCAAGTATCCCTCTCTATTAAATATTCGTTCAATCATTAAGATACTTATTCTCCTGAAAAGGAAGTCAAAATTCTCAGTTAAAAATGTAGTTCCCTACTGTGCATTTTTTAGATTTTTACAGTAAACATCAGCACATGTATTAAGTATTGTTACTTGCAACAGTTAATGTGAAACTAAATCTCAGATTTTCACACTTACCGGTCATTTTCTGTAGTTTCTTGGTAGATTTTGAGTTGGTTCTTTAAATACTCTTCATGCTTGCTAAGAGCGACATAGGTTGGTTTCCAGCTATGGCACAAGTAAAAAAAAGTTAATTTATTATTAAAAAGAACATTTAAAATGACCATATCAAAATGCATAATAAAGTAAAAATCTTTAATAGTGCTAACTCAAATAAATTCTTTTTCTATTTTTAAAGTTATGCCTGCATATATTGAAAACAGAAAAGGTTTTCATATACAGATAGCTCCCAAGCCTTTTCAAATTGAAAAGCTATGGCTTTAATTGGCTTTGCCAGTTATTGCTGGATAGTAAATACCAGTTTTAAAGAAAACATAGGGCTAACTTCACTAGGAAGACTTAGGCACTTAAAGTTACGATAATCAAGTCCAACATAGACATCAGTGGGTCTCAATCTTTTTATACTCAAGGCACCCCTCAGAAATTGCCAACAATTCATTTTCACCTTTTTTTTTTACTACTGTACAGAAAAACAGTAGAGCAATGCTTCTGTTGCAAAGAACACAGAAATACTACAACAGGTCAGAATGGTTTTAATGCTATGGATTCCTATTTGAAATCTCTGGGTTTATCTTCTTACTCATGTTTGCACATCTAACAGTGCTAACATTGTGTTGCACCCCTGAAAGGATTTCAAGCCACCCCAGGGTGCCATGATACTCTGGTTGAGAATCAATTTTGATTTATATCAATTTTGAAAAACCCTGCTTAAATCTGCTGAAACTTCCCTCTAGCTTAGACTTAGATATCTAAATGCCTGTCAAAGTCGGTCCCAACCTAAAGCACACCTCTCATCATTTCTTATTCACACTCTGATCAGTAAGCTGGTTTTTATGAACCCCACTGCTAGGAATTACATTGCATATATGTATATAGGGTTTTCCAATCCTAAATCTTGGTTGTGAATTCCACTAGGTGGCAGAATGCCTGAAACTGAAAGCATTAATAAGTCTCCCCATCAACTAATCACTTTCCTTTGTCAATGTTTATTCTTTTTAGGACCATCATTCTAAATTTTCCTTTTATTTTAACTATATCAGGCCCTGGGGGCAAGATCTGGAAAGACACCTTTGCACTGCCTGCTTAGGTACCCAACCCCTATGCATCACAAAACCTGACTCTAAGAGGGTGGACCAAAGAAAAGGAATTAGGTAGTTAGCCATGTTATTCTGAAATTAGGCAGAAGGCAGGTCTGAGCAGCACCCTACAGTAAGTCATTCAGAGATGCATGAGCTTTCATAGGTTACAACGTAATTTCTTCTACAAGTATCTGATCAAGTAGGCTGTAGCCTTTGATACAGCCCCTGGCGGACATTAATATAATCGTGCAATTGGGATCTGAGGAATGTTATGCCCAGTCCCCAAAATCATGTGATTTACCATGCCAGACACGCATGGCAGGACGCATGATTTTTTAGATTGGGCATAAAATTCCACAGATCCCAATTACGCAACTGCTCGCACTCAGGGAGCCTGGCATTGGGACTCCAGGGCTGCCCCTGCCCAATCCCAAAAATCACCTGATCATCTGGATTGGGCTGGGGTCAGCCTTGGTGTCCATGACACAGCTGCTCCATGGCCAACCCCTGAGATCAAGCTGTTCTCTGCCCAGTTCTGGAGACTAGCCCTAGGGGGACTGTGTGGCCCGGATCCAGAGTGTGCCCCCTGCCCGATCCCAACAGCAGGAGTCCCTTTACACTGGCACTTTTAAACATCTTGCCTTGCAGCTCACATTCAGGGTTCAGGGCAAGGCTGGACATGAACCAGGTCACAAGGAGCCCAGTGGCTCCCCATGTCTTAGCACTTCCTAGAGCTTTGTCCTGCAGCTCACATGCAAGATTTAACATGATGTACATTCATATTAAAACATCATGGCAACCAGCCACAGTTGTAATACATCTTTGTCATTGATTTGCCATATTAAGCATAAATTTGTTGAACGTGTGACATGTTACAATTTATTGGGCAGGCGACGCATTACTCATGTAATAAATGTAGCATCTAAGATCCTAAGATACCACCCTGCACTGCCTTCAAAGAAATAGAGTTAGGTTTGTAGGCTCCCTGTACAGTTAGTGAGGAGGAAATTAGGCAGCCAGCTGGTAAGACGTATAAGAAGCAAGAGACAGCCTGACTTTATGTTAGTGGCTGGGGCACTCAGTTGGAAGAGGGAAGATTTTGGTTCTGGTCCCTGCTCCCAGGCCTATTCATGCATTTTACATTATACAATCATTGGATAAAATAAAAATAATTCTGGGAGTATGGACCAGAACTCAAATCTCCCCACTCCCAGCTGTGCCCTAACTATGAGGCTTTGTAAGTTAATTATTCCAATATTAACTAATTTGGAGAACTCCAAAGAGCTTACTCAGGAGATCCCTCTTAAGTGTCAAACAATGGAAAAATTCTGCTTACAATTACCATAGTATAAATTTATAATAGCAACTTTAAAGTCACTAAGGTAAATGACACCAAAATTTCATGGCATAAGTATTTGTGTATCTGCCTGTATTACTCATTCATAGCACAGCTTAAAAGACAATACATATAAGAAAAATAGTGAAATAAGAAGGAACTATAGGCAAAAAACCTTGGCTCAAATAGAGAGGAAAATGTGTTAATATTTAACAAATGTATATGTACACACACACGTGCACGCGCACACACACTGGAGCCTTATTGTTCTCAATAATATTTATTACTCAGTACAGACAGTGTTCTCAGTACTACTTAGGACAGGTTTACAATGAAAAACAAAACACTTTGAAAGCTAAATCACTTAATTCTGTAAACATTTGATTAGTATTGAAGATGGGGGAGGTTAACCAAATCTTAGGCTACAAAACTATTCTTCCCATGTAAAAATGTCTTTCACACAAAATGACTGCTATTTAACAGAGAAAACTGATATTGAGATCCCCATAAGTATATCTGAACTCTTCTCTTCTAAAATTTACATATGGCCTAGATTAAGGTAAAATTAAGAAAATCACGTGCGTGTTGCCTGACTGAATAAATTGGCATGCTGCAAAAAAGGAATCTGCAATTTCTCCAGATGATTTCTGATTCAAATGTATTTTGTAGGTACATACGTGACAGATAAACACAGAAACAAGTACTACAGGAGAGTTTAATTTTACCACTGCCAGAATAATGAATCAATGATATTTTACAGATTCAGAATCAATTTAGAAAAACACCAGGGAACAGGGGAAAAAAAAACCTTTCAATACTTCTCTCTGCTCTCACATATGATTTTTAAGTTGCTGTTTGAGAACTTTTCTTGTTACATTACAATAATCTGTCATTTCAAAATGCAGTGTGTATCAAACTTCAGCTTGTATCATACTTACGCATTACAGTTCTCCTTATAATTTTTTCTGTGCTTGTGCAAATGAACAACTGCATCATTACTTTTATTTATATTTTCATGTAATCTAGAAATTTCTTTTTTCTTTTCCGTAATATTCGCAGTATATACTGAAACAAAATAAATGTTTATTAACCATTTGTTATTCATCCAGATGCAAAATGATACATATAATATTGGGTGGGAGGTCTGGCCAAATTAATGAAATATCTCTATTTTGTACTATCAGACTTCAGCAAATACAATACAATATTTGAATCTGGCAACTTCAAAATTTCTACCATTTGTAGAACATGTTTTAATGTTATTATTAGCTCTTTCGGATGACAGTTGTTTTATTCTGCATTTGCACAATTAGCAAAAGGAGGATCAAATCCTTAATGTGATATCTTGGCGCAACTGTAATATAAATGACTTCCTAACATTTTCTAGTTATACAAACTGAAACCAAATTTAAAGAGACCCCATCAACCAGAAATTGGGCTTTTTTCTTTAAAAAATAAGTTAAAAGTCATTTATACTCTATAGCTGCTGCTGAATCCCTATATCAATATTTGTGGTTTCACATTCACCCTTCTCTTAAAATGATTTTTTCTCCTTTGTTATGTGAAAGATGCAGACAAACAGGAAAAACTGATTCGCTGATCGCGTAAGAGAAACAGTAAAACTGACAATTTCCAAATACAAAAAGTGCACAAAGGAAACAAAAACAGAGAAAAACAAAGTATTTCCAGTCCCACTTAAAGCTAACTTTAACTTTTGACAGCTAATAAAAATGTTAAGAAAAGTCTAATATTAAGCTGAGCTCCGTATTGGTCACATCATTCAAAATTTTATAATATTACAAAACCTATCTAAAGCGATGAGCCAGAGAGCTAGATACTCAGTAAATCAGATTCTCTGCTGCAGTAGAGTTGTGTTGATTTACACCAGGGGTGTCAAAGATACAGCCTGTGGGCTGATTCTGGCCTTCAGAGTCCCATTGGCTGGCCCCCAGTGCTAGCCTTGGATACCAGTTGACCTATGTGTGGCATGTCCTGGCCTGGCCCCATAGGCAGAACCTAGGACATGCACTGTATGCGGCACCCACCCCAACCAGTCCAGAACATGCACTGTTCATGGTGTGTGCTCCAACTGGTCTGGGCCCTGTGCTGCTTGTGATGCCTGTGGGCACCATGTGCAGCGCAGGTCCTGAACTGGCTGGAGTAGATGCTGCATGCAGCACAGTCCTAGGCCAGCTGGAAGGGAGCACCGCATGTGGTGCAGATCCTAGAATATGCATTGCATATGGTGCAGTCTAGCTGGAGCAAAGCACGTCACGTCTCATACACAGTGACTGCTCTGGCTGGTGTGGGACCCGCACTACACATAGTGCTCACCCCAGCTGAATTGAGCCTTATGTGGTGCATGCAGCATTGGTCCTGGGCTAGCTACACCTGTTCCTGCATGTGGCACAAATCCCAGAGTGGCTGGAATGGGTCCTGCTTGTGGTGGATCTGGCATGTGAGAGGAGAGGGAAGAGGAGAGTCTGCAGGCCCAACCCATCCTGTGGACCAGTCCTGCACCACTCATTTGGCCCATGGAGCTAGATGAGCTTTATACCACCTGAGAATCTGGCCACACAGGACTTGGAGTTCTTTAAAGAGACACTATAAGACGTATGTATTGTCTTTTTAAAAGTGGGTTTTCTTGCTTATATTTCCATTTTTTTCTTTCTCTTCCTTACTTTAAATACCCTTGTTTTTTAAAGTGTCATTATGACTTTTTGCAAAATGCAGTAAAATTTTCTGCACCATTTTTTTTTATAGGAAATGCATTATAAAGATAGCCACAGAACAAATAATTTGTATTTGTAAACAGACTAGCTGAACTATTATGTACTGTAGTGAATGAGCTATTCCCTGCAAGAAGTCTTAAAAATGTACTCTCCCTAAAGGTAGAAAATAAATGGAAAGAACCATTATGAATTACCTAAAGTGCCACAGGACTTTATATGAAATGTCTTAAGCCTGTCTTTGAGAGAACACCACTCTATTGTATTCTCTCCTACTCTTGAGAAACACCAGCCAAAAATTATGGAATGACAGGAACCTGCCATTCTTTATTATAGGCAATACACTCAGAGCTACTTAAGCCTTGGAGCTAGTGTGCTTTGCACATATGCATTTTCAATATATCCGTGCTAAGCTGAAAAAGCCTAAATTCTGGAGGATTCAAAATTTCTTCCAGCACACTTGAGTTCAGCAACACCATCTGAGTGAGGAGCCTGCAGCTGAGCAAAGCAGCAAGGGTGTGTGAGTCCAAGCAATCAGAAAGTTTGAGATAAGGATTATATTCTGAGAACAAAGAGTTTAAAAAAGAAAATATGTGAAGACTGACTTGCACTGTTTCATCCAAATCTCAGTCTGTTTAACTGGAGTCACTATTGGCAATGGGAACTGAAGTAATTTTATTAATGATTATTAGAACTGACTTTGGTTTTATAGTATCCAGGAACAAGTACATGGCTTCAAGCTACTGGCAGTGAAGCAGAGAGAAATCAGACTATGATTTCTCATCTTGTGAGGCTTGCAAATAGGGCAATTGGATTGGCTTGCAGAACTCTAAATGGTGATGCCCCAATTAACCATTTGCTTTCCTTTACATAAGGCCAGCTCTACAACTGTGTCATAGAAATTTAGGCACAGGAAGGAAGAAATGAAAAATAGCAATATGTACATTTACTGTAAGTATACATTAAAATATGGAGGTGATTCAGTCTCCAGCACAAAATTTGAATGTTCCAGCAGAAACAGAATAATATGGCTTTTTTTTATTTTTAGAGTTTTTCTATCAGATAATAGTATTATATTCAACATTTGATCACACACAGATATAAACCTTATTGGGCTTTACGCTATGACCAGAGAAAATTAACTGAAATGCAATTATCACTTAATCTTTTGGAAAAAAGCCATGAGTTTTAATTTCCATCCTTAAAGCACCAGTGGATAGATCAATGATTCTCAACCTTCTTAGACTCAAAGCACCCCTGGGAAAAATGCCAGGTCTATTTTTTCACAAGTTTTTCAGCTATAGAACAATAACAGAACAATGTTTCTGTTCTGAAGAACTTAGAAAGACCATGACAGGTCAGAATGGTTTTGACTCTATAGATTCCTACTTGAAATCTGTGACTTTATCTTGTGAATCATGTATTGGTGCTTGCACACTTAATAGTACTAATAGTAAGCAGCACCCTGCAACACCCAGGGCATGTCTACATGTGAAATTAATGTGACACAATACACTCTGGTGCATAATATCACACTGGAGTTGATTGCTCCCAAGCACCTCATTCACATGTGCACCCAGGACCGCAGCACACTGAGCCAAGTCAGAGCAGCCCTGGCCAGGGGGTCAACCTGCCAGCCTGGGGCTGCTCTGACCTGGCTCAATGTGCTGCAGAGGGGCTGCTTGGGACACAAGGATGCTTCAGTGCAGGGCTAGCCTGCAGGCAGCCCCCACAAAACACCCTCATGCCCTAGGCAGCCCCATCAGCATCCACTTGTGAGTTGCTGTGCAGTAAATAATGCTGCTGCAGGATAGTACTTGTATTACAAGTACTTTACACAGAGACTTTACTGCAAAGCTAATTAGGCAGTAAACATCTCATGTAGACACACTCCCATAAAAGAATCTTGTGACATCCTGGTTGAGAATCATTGGGATAGATAAAAATGACCCTACTTTGTCTAAAGGACAGAGGCTCTACCACAACCATATCCACCAACCCAGAACCATGACCAAAGCTACTAAATGACATGCTACAAAATGTATCTGGAGAAAAAGAGTATTGTGTGTAGCAATCAATCCTTTCTCCCCTAAATGTGACTACTGAAATTTCAGGCACAATAGGGACGTTAACACCAGCTGGGAATCAGAAAAGGGGGACTGAAACAATGTGGGAAAAATATGCAGAAGCAGAGACCACGTAGAAAGAGCTGGGTAGCAAAGGTACAAACTTGGAAAAAGCATGGAAAAAAGCAAGGGGCAGGTCAGGTAATGCTAGGGATTTTGTAGGAGGACATAACTCAAATGGAAGCCAGGCACTAGAAGGAGTTGCAGATGCTACCAGCTAGCAAGGCAAGGACAAGACCTTGAGCATCATGCCACTAAGTATCCTGAAGGACCTGAGCACAACTAGCTAATAGTAGGAGGGGCAAACAAAAGTGCCTGAGATGAGGGAGAATAAACAGAGGATGGAGAAACTTTAATCCCTAGGAGTGAATTCACCTTTTAAACTCAGAATGCTTGAGGCATACTCAGACAAATGAGTTAAGGGAACTGGCTTCAAACCATTGATAAAATTACTTCAAATGCATGACTACTCACAATAGATCTGTTGCTTCACAAGTTCCATAGCATAAGAAGTTTGTTGTACCTGAAAAACTAAAAAGAAGATATTCATTTTTGTTTTAATATAATCTTCTAAAAAGATATTGCAGTATTAAAACCATATTTTTTAAAACAACCTAATGTTTTAAGTCTTTATTGTTCTATCAGGACAACTTACCTATAATCATTATCTACCTACAAATAGTTTATATCTTGTTAATAAAACTTTAGATTCAATACCCAAAAAAGCTCTATATATAAGAGAACAAAATAAAGAAAAGAATAAATATAGAATAATAGAAATAGGATAACTGTTCCATGCTTAAAACGTAGTGATATTTGATGAAGGGATAATTTATAAACTTTATTAATTCCAGAACATTTGATATGTCATGATTACCTACCAAACTCATTCAGAAGTTTGTCTAAATTGCTCAAGAGTTTGTCACTCATTTTCTTTGCTAAAAAAGAAAAAAAAAAGTTTACAGCAAAATTCAAAAGTCACATGGACACAGTAAATCAGTCAAGCTTAAAAAAATAGCAAATATGCTATTATAAAATAACTGTATGTGAATTGTCTCAAAGATTTCATAAGAACACAAGAAATGCCATTTATTAGGTCAGACCATGAGTCCATCAAGCTCTGTGCCCTGTCTATCACATGGCAGAGAGTGGATGATGAAGGGAAGGGTGAGCAGAGCATGTCCGATATTGTCCATGT